GGGCTGCACATTCCCTTTAACTCCTTTTAAGACTTCTGTGTTACGGTGTATCCAAGGAAGAGGAAATGCACAAGCCATGTGTCGAGTTCAAAGAACACTTATAAACCGATCCCGACTAGTGACCAGGATCAAGAATCAAAACGTAACCAGCACCCAGAAGTACAACTCTTTTTTTCCTCCCCAAAGCCCCAGTGCATGGTGGTATATTCTGGTTGTAAGTCCTTCTAGTTCTTCTGGGTGAGCTACCGCCATGGCGTGGCTACTGACTGACAGGAGGTGTGGTTCTGCCACAGGGAAACGAACCATGGAATCGCTGAGAGCGCCGAACTTTAGCCACTAGGCCAGCAGGGCTGGCTCTGGAGCTGCCGCTTTTGCCCTCTTCCCATCATCCTTACTCAAGGACTCCACTATCCTGACTTCTAAAGCCTTGGGTTCACTTTGACTGATTATAATCTTTTTTTCACCATCATTCTAATTGCTTTATTGAGTTGAAAAATTTTGCAAACTGATGAAATATGTGTGTGAAAAGAGAGAGATGTGGTTTTTTATGAAATTTAAGCTGAATGCTTTAGTAAAGACTAAATAAAGGAAGTTGCTAAAAAATTGCTATCAAGGTAAGTGTAGGTGAGACAAGCATAAAAGATTGGGGAAAAGAATAAAAATCTCAAGGGGTACTATGCTAAGATTGCTTTGCAAGTGTCCTTGAACTTTTGTTTGGCCTTCAGGAAATCAAAACTGGCAATCGTAGGCAAGGCGTTATGGTTGTGGTTTAAGCAAAGAAAACAACTTAAAACATCAACGAATGGACCCACATTTAAAAAAATAAAATAAAGCCTTAGCCCAACATCAAAATATTGGTGTATGCATATACGTTTTTAGGTTTTAATATAAAATAAAATGTTAGTGTGTGCTTCATTTTGAATGATTCCCCACTTTAGTGGATTCTTTTTTCCCTCCAGCTTTATTGAGATATAATGGACATATAATGTTGTGTAAGTTTGAAGTGTTCCATGTGATGATTTGATACGTGTATGTATTGTGATATGTTTACCACAATAAGGTTAGTTAACACATCCTTCATCTCACATAAGTACCATTTTGTTGTTATGGTGAGGACATTTGACATCTACTCTCACAGCAACTGTTAAGAATACAGTAGAGTATCGTCAACAGTAGTCACCATGCTGTACATTAGATCCCTGGATCTTATTCCTCTTAGACTGGAAGTCTGTACACTTTGTACAACATCTCCCCATTTCCTCCACTCCCCAGTCCCTGGCAACTACTGTTCTGCTCTCTATTTCTATGAGTTTGGCTTTTTTAGACTCCACATATAAGTGACATCATGCAGCATTTGTCTTTGTCTGACATCTCAGAGTATTGCCTTCAAGTTTCAGCCATGTTGTTGTAGACAGCAGGATTTCCCTCTTTTTTTATGGCTGAATAATATTGCATGATATATAGAAAAATATATACACAACATTTTCTTCGTGCATGCGTTTGTCTATGGACAATATCTTGACTATTGTGAATGATGCTACAGTGAACGTGGGGGTGCAGATGTCTTTTCAAGACAGTGATTTCATTTCCTTTGGATATATACTCAGAAGAAGGATTCTTGGATCATTTTGATTTTGATCTTTATATAAATGGAATCATTCTTGTGTTTTCTTTTGTTTCTTGCTTCTTTCACTCAACTTTATGTTGGTGCTATTTATCCATATTGTTGTGGGGAGATGCTGATCATTCGTTTTCATTGTGGCTCAGTATTCCACTGAGTAAATACACCACGACATTTTCATCCATTCTATTGTCAATGGGCATTGGGCATAGTTTCCATTTTGGGGCCCCCTCCCCTTTTGAGGACTCATAGAAAGACTCATGAAGGGGAAGGGTTGAGAGTCTTTACTGGTGGAATTAGCAGCCAATTCTTATGGTAATCACCTTACGACTCACAGCAGAGGATTCTCAGAAATATTTGGAGGAGAGGACCACTGGAAAGCACAAGCCAGGACCTGGAGTACTGAATGTGGAGGGTTGACTGTAAATTTTCCTTTAGTTGTAATCACCTTCTGGAGAAGCCTACTACACGTGGGTTAGGAGGATTGGAAACAATATATGAAACACCTCACCCGGCACCAAGTAGGCACGCAATAAATGGAAGCTGTGGATGTTACTATGCATGCACAGAGTAGCCACTGCTAACTTTATGAATCAATCTCCATGTGTAGCAAAAATGGGACATGGTAACAAGAAAGAGAAAGGTGTGTGAAAAGTAAAATGTGGTCCAAGTGGTACTGTTGCCATCCTCGCTGGAGACCATAGAGGCCTACAGCAAACTGGGGAGGGCTTCAGGCACAGAACAGAGACGTGAAGTCTGTAGAAAGTTCTATCCAACCCCTTCATTTTAGACACGAGCACACATTGGCCTAGAGAGTTCTGTGGCTTGCCTCTGGGAGCCTTGAGTGGCCACTTCAGCTTAGAATGGCAGAACCAGGAGTCCTGGTGGAAGAAGCAAAAGGAGAACACTTCACCCAAAGATGCAGGGGTGGGGAGGGGGCAGTTCGTTAGTTCACAAAGTCAATTTGTTGAAGGTTAGGGTAGCAGATAGCCTCAGGATAATTTGGAATCAGCATCTGGAATGTTCTAGGACTCTCCTCTCGTCTCTCAATTGGGTTTTTCCTCTCATAAGGCTTTCTTCACAAAGCTGGAAGTAGGGCTGCAGATGGCTCTTGGCATCTTAGCTTCACTACCAAAGAGGGACCATCTCTCTCCCTCAGTCCCTACAACCAGGGAAAGGCTCTGATTGGTCAGGCTGGGCCTTCCATTTTCCCTTGTGTCTTGGGGAGGGATGGTGTGGAGTGTTTTAATTGGCAACCTCCTTTAGAACTGTTTTTTTGGGGAGGAGAAACATTGCCCCCAAAGAAGCCAGGAAGAAAAAACTCCACGTATGCATTGTTTCAGCTAAGAAGCTTTGAGTTGCAAGTGACAAATTCTGACTTAACTAATTTAAACAACAAAGGCAATTAATTGGTTCACGTAACTGAACAAGTTCAAGGTAGGTCCTAGCTTCAGGAGTGTTTTGATCAGGTGCAGGCTCTTTTTTCTCCATTATTGCCTTTTGTTGGATATTTCCTGCTGTGTGTGTTTGTCTGTTTCATCTTCAGGGTAGCTTCCAGAACAAGGAATGTTATGCATGTCTTCAGCTGAAGTCCTGAGATCAATCTGATTGGCCTGGGTTGGGTCGCAGGCCTAGCCCTGACCCATTTTGTTGTGGTCAGGTGATGGAATACACTAACTGGCTTTTCCTAGGTCACTTGGTCCACCTCTGCAGCTGTGGTAGAATTGGTTTCCCCAGAAGGGGAAAGCATGGATGCTAGGGTGGAGGAGCAACCAACAGGAACCCGCTTTATCACTAAAAGATAAAGGGAGGTTAAAGAAATTACCCCAAATCGCACATCTAGTAAATAGTGGTTATAAGATCTGACCTAAAGTCCATCTGATCTCCAAGCTCATAAGCATTTGATTCTCATGCTTGCTCTCATGATTTCTTTGATTCATGACTTCCTCTCATACAAATCTGTTCCTGTTATCTAGTGCTGTATTCCACATGGCCCCAAACATAGTAGCTTAAAACAAGAACACATTATGATTTCTCACAATTCTGCAATCTGGGCTGAGCTCAGCCAGGCAGTTGTTCCATTCCATGGGATGTCTGCCAGGGCTGGAATATCCAAGATGGCTTTTTCACGCAGATGCCTGGTGCCTTCACTGGGATGGCTGGAAAAGCATTCATCTCTCCACCTGGGCTCACCAGTAGGATAGATGGACTTCTTCACATGGTGGCCCAGGCCTCCAAGAGCAAGCATTCCTTCCAAAAGTATAAGCCTCTGCTTGTGTCACCCTTGCCAATTTTCACCGGCCAAGGCAAGTCTCATGGCCAAGCCCAGAGTCCATGTGGGAGGAGTCTGCACAAGGTTGTGAATATCAGAAGGCATAGGTTATTGGAGGCCACCCAATGTAATGACCCCGTGACCTACTTTTGTCCCCTTCCACCAACATGGAAACTATTCTGTAACAAGACAAGGAGCAGAAAGCTCTTTTTTAACTTCTCTATTCTTTAAAGGAAATTACTATCCATAATTAGTCCAATCAAGGATGCACCATCCCATCAGACGTGGGGTGTGGCTGCATGGCTGTCCTACAGTGGGGTCTGCTGACAGCTCTGCAGCTAATGGCAGTTGCAGTTTCCATTACGACCTGGCTTTCACAATATAAATTGTCCTACATGTGCACTTTGGAGTATGGAGTTTTATTTTTATTTGGTTTTGTTTTTTAAACATGGGCTGAACTTTAAGTTGTTTGACTTGGGTTTTCCCCCCTTAGGTTTTATTTTGAGAGCTTTACATGTCTAAAGCCACGGTAGGACACCATACATTTCATCATCTTTTTCCGACACCCAAAGCATATGTTTTACTTTTGGCATTCGGCTGGGGGGAAGAAAGGAGAGTATTTCAGAGGAGAGGCCATTTGTCACCCACCCAGTGGTCTCCTATAAGGCTGTTGTGTGCTGCTCAACTAATAAATGTCTATTCTCTGCTTTCCCAAGGACCTGGATGACCTGTCTGCTTTTGACTGGTTGTAGGTATTCTGTTTCTTCTTTTGGTAACTATAGCAGATTTAAAATTGGTATCCCTTTCCCATAAAGCTTATCTTCCTCATTCTATTTCTTTCCTTCTCCCCTTCTAATGTAAAATAGTTCCAATATATTCAAGTTTCTAAACTGCAGGGTTAAAATTTGTCAAGCCCAATATTCTTAACACCATATGCATTTTTCTTTGAGGGGATGTAAGAGTATTTATTTTTATTTTCTTTTTCCTTTCAAGGGACATGGCACAACAATTTGCTTAATTCAACTCCACTTCTTTCCACAAATGGATGCCGTTTTAAGTTTAGTATTTTATTACCTCTCTCCTCTCATTTTAAATATCTGAGTTTTGCTCTTTTATCTTGTAGCTTGGCGTTTTTGGAGGAACATATTCTATTGATGTGTCCACCCCACTTCAGCTGTTTTTCTAACTCTGGTTTCCTGGCTCATAAAGAAGAAACAATTTGAGGGCGTGGCATTCCTGATGACTCTCAGCGGTAAGTGTTTTGAAGTCAAATGATGATTCCTTCCAGTAGATTTCCAGACTATTTCAAATAGTGAGTCAAATCTCCATCCTAGTCTAGAATCAAAATTGAGTATCAAGTTCCTTTTTTGAGATATTGAAGCTTGGAGGATGCCATTAAAATACCTATAACTCTTGGTATCTCTGGATCTGCAGAGTGAATTTCCCAAGGGTTCATTAAGGACTGAGTATATGACAACCTGTGTACTGCTATCAACCTCAGCGAGCTTGTTGGTTTCTGGTTCAGTGCAGTTGAGAACCATTTGAAGGGATAAGATCACAGGACACTGTGAGATTATTTGGGGCCCTTGCCAGCTCACTGGAACAAAGCAACTGATCAGTGTTCTAGCTGCATGCAAGTAAGATATGGACTCTTCCAGGGCTGGAAGGAATTTGACTTATCAAATCTATTCTCATTTATTAAATGATACTTTCCAGGTAAATGAGACTCTTGGCTTTGAACAATTTCCTGGATGATTTCCAACTTTGGTAGAGTTTAACCACCCCTTTTGGAAATCTAAGCCAAATTCTATAGAATTGTTGCTTAAGAGTTGATTAAGCCTCCATCTTGGTCTACGCTTGTTAGTGGTTGTGGGACACCCTGGCCAGGCCCATTTGTATAGAAAATTTTGCACCGGCGCTTCAGTGATTTGTGTTCCCACTCGACAGTGGAGACTTGTTGCTTTCCCAGCCCATATAGATCTAGGCGGGGCCATCGGACTGACCAGCTGAGTTCTGGCCAATGGAATATGGGCAGACGTGATGAAACTACTTCCAGATCTGGCCCCCAAACCCTCCTGAGTGATCATGTATGTACATTCTCTCCCCAGGGATGCCAACTGATGTCAACTCCCAGGTACAGGGAATGGGAACTGTGGGTGGAAGACGGCAGAGCCTCTGTCAGCTGTGTCCAAAATGGCTGTGTGAACCGCATTCTGACTCCTCGGCTCCCTACCACATCCCCTGCCCCCGATCACCAGTCTCTGCCATTGGGCTTTACGTGAGAAAAATTAAATGACTCTATATTTTGTTGAGCTCCTGAAAATCTGTAGTGTGCTAGGTACGGTGGAGAGCATTAGCTGAACTAATACGCAGGGGATTTCTTAACCTTCATGGGTGGCTGGTGATTACCTCCACCCTGGGCACAGTCCCGTGAGGAAAGTCAGGGATCACTGAGAATCTCACTAGGACTTCTCTTTGGTGTGAGCTCTTCTTTCCTTTTCAAACTTGCTGAAGCTTGTGAATAGAAATGATTGATACCCTTAAGTTCCATTTCTGCCTTCCCCTGAACCGAGACCTGGTTTTCCAAACTGAGCCTAAGACAAAATTGCTTTTTGACAGCTGTTTGCTCTTCTTTATGTAAGTGACAAGCATTTCTTAAGCCCCTGTTATCTGTCTAGCCCTGAGCTGGGACTAAGAGAGATAGCAAAAAACACAGTTTCTCTTCCCAAAGATTTTATAAATTAAGTAGAGAAGCAGGAGATCCATATAGAAGTCAACCAGAGGATAGTGAGATGCCATATGGAAAGAGATTCTATAGGAATTCAGCAAAGGGAAAGATTCGTGTGGATTGGGGTTGGTTGCAGAAGCTACTAGCAGATATAAGAATTCTACTTGGCCTTGAAGGGAGTTTGGGCAATGGGGTATAGTGAGTAAGAACGGGTCCTGATGCAAAGTCTCATATGCCCTGCTTAGCACAGAAAGAACTCATCCCCTTTGCTCTGGAGCGGGGGAGTTAGGTCTGGCAAAGCTGAGAATTTGAGGTGACTGGAGAGGCCAGTGGGGTGGGGGAAATGACTACTATTTACACTCTATCTCACAAGGCTCCTCTGGGGAGAGGAGTGCAGGATGGAGAGGGAGGAGCCCGTGGGCCGGTTTCTCTGTTCTAGGCCTTGGAGGGAACATAACTTTTCTGGAGGGCCCTGCCCATAGCACCCACTTCCCTCAACCAGTGGTGTGCTGAAGTCGACTTGTGTTGGCTTAGGACGCTCAATTGACAAATTTTCAGGAATTTTGTGAGCCATTTGTTAAACACATCTATTATTATTATAAATTAAACTAGGTAAGTCTTATTTGAACTTATAATTAAACAAGTATATTAAAACAAAGACAATCAATACTTGAAACTCATCACTTCCCTGGTATTTGCTACTTTTTTCTATAATCTATGCTATGGAGGTTACTTACAACTATTGTAGCTGTAGGGTGGTCTTGTGGGTTGAATTGTGTCTCCCCAAACTCATATGTTAAAGTTTTAATCCCCAGTCTCAGAATGTGACCTTGTTTGGAAATAGGGTTGTTGTAGGTGTAATTAATTAAAATGAGGTCATTAGGGTGGGCCCCTCATCCAATACGCCTGGTGTCTTTATAAAAAGGGAAAATTTGGACGCACACAGGAAGAATACCAGGTGAACATAAAGGCAGAGATTGGGGTGATGCTGCAGAAGCCAGGGGCTGCCAAAGATGTCCAGCAAACCACCAGAAGCTAGGACAGAGTCACAGAGAGTCACGGAACAGATTCTCCCTCACAGTCCTCAGGAGGAACCAACCCACTGACACCTTGACCTGGGACTTCCAGCCTCCAGAACCGTGAGAGAATAAGTTTCTGTTGTGTAAGGCACCCCGTTTGAGATATTTTGTGATGGCAGCCCCAGGAAATGAACATAGGCTGACATACTATATTATGCAATGTGTGCTACAGGTCACGCCCTCTACCCGCCAACTCCTCATTCTTTGACTTCACATTGATAGCTTGAAATCAGCCACAGGGTGCCACAAAATCTCGGTTTGATTCATTGTTTCTTTGATTGTCCAGAAAAGGTGTTGGTGAACTACAACCTGGGGGCCAAATCTGGGCCTCCACCTGTGTTTGTGCAAGTTCCATTGGAGCACAGCTGTGCCCATTCGTTCGTGTGTTGTCTGTGGTTGCTCCCACCCTGCAATGGCAGAGTGGCGTAGTTGTGACAGAGACCGCGTGGCTCACAGAGTTGACAATGTTTATTATCTAGCCTTTTGGAGTGAAAGTTTGCTGACCCTTGGCTTAGACTGAAGAAAGTGATGGAGGCGATGTCAAAAACACAGAGGAAACTTTACAAATGTGACTGTCTGTAGCCATTACCTTGTGATAGGACAAAAATTGAGAAAATATTCTTCCGGTATTTGAAAACGATTATCTGACGCTGCAAAGTAGTGGCTCTTATCTTTGATGAATGAGTGAAGTTCTGACATAGATTTTCATCATTTTGCTTATCTCTTATTTGTTTATGCAAATAAAAAAATTAACCAACATTCATGTCAGAACTATAATTGTTTGTCAGTTGCAACCAGAGATTGGCTGCAGATACAAGAGTTTGTCAAAAATCAATGGAAGCCTCTGTGAGAATCAATCGGCGCTGTGGAATTTATTTGCCCGTACTGAATAACAACAAAGCTTATAGTAAACCTACGTGTCTATACTATACACACACGTTTCCTCCCCTGGAGAACCAGTGGTTGAACCTTTCCCAGCACACCACTTCCTCCATCCTCCGTGCGGCACCCTCCGCTGAGCAGAGGTCACCCAGTTCACGGGTCTGTTGCAATCTGACTTCGGCCTTGGCCTCCCCGCTGTGTAGATTTGGCTTGTCTGAGAGAGTGCTGTTGGTGGGAGCAATTGCAGTAGGAAAACTCAGTGTCACCAAGGAGCCCGGCCTGGCTAAAATCTGCTCTAGGTGAGGGGACCGCGAGTGCCAAGCGCTCACGGGTGGAGTGGGCCTTCTGACAGCCTGGGGCTCCAAGGCACATCTGAGTTTGGACCTGCTCCCAGCCGCGGGAGAAGTGACAGGGCGAGGGGGCTGATTGGGAAGCCGGATTTGGTCACAACGTGAAGGACTTATAGGACAGGAAGAGCAGCTGCGGGCTGTTGCAATTCGCACTTTAGAAAACAGCCTCTGAACATCGTGGCCCTGCCTGAGGCATGTTTTCTGGCACTTGTAAGGAAGACTTGCAAAATGTTAAGAAATGGGATCTTTGCTTGATTGTGGAAGTCTCAATGGACCCTCAGAGCCTGCAAAACAGAAAACTAGAAAAGCGGTTCTGAAAAGCTTGGCCAAATGGCAGTCATGTGGCTTTCTCCATCCCTCTGCTGCTTTCTGGATGCCTGGCAGAAATGAAGAAATAGTTTTTTAGTAAACTTTTTCTTGACGACAACCAGATATGGATGGAAGGCCTTGCTTTAAAACTGAGACTGCGTATTTGTGGTGAATTAGGATGGCCTTGGGGCTCCATGAGACTATATCGGGCGGGGCCTCCCACAGCTCCTTGGGTTCACCCCTCACAGAGCATTTTAACCCCTGCCCAGCCTTCCCTGGCCCTGGCCAATAGCTGCCTGTGACTTTGCTAACCTTTCAGCCCCCGGCGAGGCAGTCACTTCAACCAGCGTCTTCTCACGCATCTCCCGCCCTGCGGAACTTCTCCCCAGGCTGCTCTCACTTGCCTCTTCCTTCTGGGCCCAGGTTTGATTCCGGGAGGAAGATTTAAGGAAGTCTAGTTTGACACTCTGGCCCGCAGCCCCCAGGCCTCAGTCTGCTCTCTGCCTGCTGAGTTGGGCCCAGCACTGGTTACTGCGTGTGTGCCTTTGTCCTGAGGTAAGGTGGGACAGGTCTGTCCCCGGGAGCCCCACTCAGTGCTACAGACCCCCAAGAACTGGAGTGTGGACTTATTCAGGCCAATCTCCTTGTGGCCTTTGGAAATGGATTCCTGGCCCTGGTTCCTACCCTACCTGCTGACAGATGTTCGGATAATGGCCTACCTACGTGCCTTCCCACATCTCCCATTGTGGCCTCTTGCTAGATTTTTCTTTTCTTCCCTCTGTATTACACTTCAGGTATGCAGTAGAATAGACAATAACTTTGAAATCCACCAGATTGGGGCTTAAATATATGATTTGTCGCCAGGTAGCTGTGTGGTCTTGGGCAAATTACTTAACTTCTCTGAACCACAGTTTCTTTGTAAAAAGGAGATAAGGTATCAGGTTGTTCTGAGGATTAAAAGTGATAACATAGTTGGAGAGTCTGTTATTTATTACTATAACCTTGAGAGGTGTAGGTCTTTATTTATTACTATGCCCTTGAGATCCACTGACTGAGATGCTGTTCAAATGCACATTCTGATTCAGCGGTTCTGGGGCTGGGCTGGGATTCTGCCTGTTTAAGAAACTCCCAGGTGACGTTGATGCTGCTGGACCCTAGACCACACTTTGAATAGAAAGACATGACATTGACATTGACTCCCTTCCAAGCACTCCCTTTGGCCTCCAGCTCCCCTCCTTCAGGCCAGAGGCTCCCGGTCTGCCCTTTCCTGCCTCTCTGTCCAGCTCTGTCAGGAGGTATGTCCCTGACCTCCATAACCTGGGGGGACTAAAACCAGGGAAGAACTCTTCTCTTCATAGAGGAAGAAGGGAACCGTGGCCATGTGCGGTGGGGAATTCAAGAGGACAATGAACAGGAAGGACGCAGTGACAGGTATTCAGCAGGAGCAGGTGTGTGAGCGCCCTTACATCTATTTAGTTTGTCTTAAGAATTTTAACGTGTTTTTGAAACTTATGATGAAGGAACCCTAGAGAGCTGGGATGTGAAAAAAATTTGGAGGGAGGTCAAGGCTCTGTCTCTGAGCTGATAGAAACTGTAGAAAAATGGCAAGAGGGAAGGCGAAAAACAGTGAGGAAGTGTGTGTATTTGCGATCTCACTGGTTTTCATTCCTGAAAATGCGCCTTTTCTTCTCCTTCTTTATGTTTTCCTCACTGAATGCCTTTGTGTGAAACCTTTGGATGTGCAGCTCTCCTTGATCCAGGAGTCCAAATCCCCCGCCTTCTCCGAGGCCCAGCTCAGCGGGCACATCCTTAGCTAACCCGCTGATCAAAGGATAGCAGGGGTTCTCCAGGCCATCCAGCCCGGAGTGTAAGGCTATCCTAGTGCCGGGAACCCAGTGGCTGCCTGACTCACCCGTCAGCTCATTGCTAC